ACTAATTGCTCTGGCGGCCTGTTTATCTCATATACCAACGGTCAGGAGTACTCATGCTCCCTGACTTAGCACACAGCGCGTTGGCCAGGAACTCCGCGGGAATTAGTAGACTATCATACTCAGTAAATAAGCCATAGCTCAACAACCAATAAGCATATCTAGAGTCATAACCTTTCCATTAACATGCATAACATACTCACAGTTACTGCATGCTTCCATACATGTATCATGATCAACACGTAGAACATTCTGACAATCATTTATATCACGCTTACATCACAGGCAAGCAGTCACAATATACAATAAACACTAAATATCATCAAAGTTCATCATAACTTATTAAGCTCTTAATCAGGTAAACAACATACTCACATGTTGTAAAACAAGTTAAGAACTAGTTCAAAAGTCGATACGCTACTTACTTGGTTGCGAACTCCTTTTCCCCCTTGAATGTACGTTTAATAGTATTTCAACACAATTCCTTCCTATTAGACCTATATTTTATCGATTTCAACATAAGTATAGATCAGTTTTGATAGAACAGGTCAAGAGGAGTCAAACGGGACAAACCGGGAGCCAAAATACCTTCTCACGCGCCCTCACGCGCCAATACAAGGTCGGAGGTTCGTTTTCTCACGCGCCTGATCCGCGTACAGTCGCACATCCACTCGCGGCCTCCCACGCGCCTCGCGTGTCCTTCACGCGCTCGTCTTCAACCTCTCCTCCCTGCAATTTTTCCCAATCTTTTCCTTTAATACCCGTTGTGTCCCGAAGCAAAAATTTCATCTCTACAGCTCGAATTTCGTTCTGATTTCTTCTACAACTTTATAGATCTTCTAACTACGGTCCTAACAAACCTTATTTCATAACTTATTATGCAGTGTGAATCAAGATATCGAGATTTGAAGGTTCGGTGATATGGGTTTTTCGTTACCTTCGAATCACCGTCCGATTCAGCTCGTGGCCGTATCCCCTTCCTCAAATGATTCCTCACAGCAACAACCCCTCTTCCTTTACCCTCGATTGATGTCCAATTTTAAGCAACCAAAACTCGAATTCTCAAAATTTCCTCCTCTGTTTTTCTACGTTTTTCGCTAATCACCATTCTTCGTTTTTTTTCTTCCTTTTTAAAGCTTAATCCAGCCTTAACACAATTCCACATCCTCTAATCATCCACTCATCCATCCCACGCCTCCAGCTACGCGTCCGCCACCCCTCATCCCCCCTTTACAGCAGCTGCTTGACGCAGCTGCTTCGTTTCGTTCGTTTTTTTTTTTTTAATTTATTTATTATTATTATTATTATTATTATTATTATTATTATTATTATTATTATCAAACACACCACACATAAAATACAAAATACATTTATCATTATTTTTTTTTAGGTTGTTATAGTTCAATTGATACCAAATTTAATGAGTTTTCATATTTCATATAGACGGACTTAACTTCAGAGTGGCATGTCAAGACTCATGTTGGAACCCTACCTTTTGTGGTTATGGTTTGGAGCCCGTCTACTTGTTGCCTTCAACCTTGTTTGAGTATGACTCGTATATGAGCTTTATATCTATTTGGTTGTGTCCATGATATGAGCTCACGCACGAGGTCACTCCTTGCAAGTATATGATGTGATCCACTAGAGTTTTGCTTTATACGACATGAACCCACATGTGAGGTTATTCCCTACATGTATATGAGATGATCTACTAGGATCGTGCCCTACACAATATGAGCATACATATGGGGTCTCACCTACATTTACGAGATCTAATAGGGTCGTGCCTTATACTGAACTCATATGCGAGGTCACTCCTTGCATGCATATAGTGTAATATACTAGGTCATGCCCTACATGATATGAGTACACATATGGTGTCACTCTTTGTATGTACCATACCATTATAGGATTGTGCCTACATGATATAAGTTCATACACAAGGTCACTCCTTAAATGTATATGATGCAATTTACTAGAGTCATGCCCTACACGATACGAACCCACACGACGGGGTCGCTCCTTACATGTATATGATGTGATTTTCTAAATTTTATATGAAGAATAATACACTGACAAGGTAAAAGTGAGAGAGTAAAGTAAAATATTTACAAGATCAAAATAAACCTCGACCTTCCAAAAAAAATAAACGTTAAAATCGCTACTGATACATATTATCGAACTATACTAAAAAGAAAGGCATAATTAACCCAACGACCTCTTTTAAAGGTCATGAACTCGAATCCGCTCATCCACGTATAATTCTTAAAAAGAAAAAACAAGAACTCATTTCAAACCATGCAAATAATCTCAAACAATCCAATGTAAAGACAGCTTACCATGCATCGGGTGTCGTACGGGCTTTCATTCTTTACAAGACAACTTCTTAGCTGTCACTCTACGGTTCGTGCCAGAGGCCGAACAGCAGCTTCCCGTGGAGCCTACCGATGGTTATACCTTGTTTTCTTAGGGTACCTACACACTGCAGAATAGTAGACTTTTAAAAATACACCTTGGAAATTTCAGGCAGATTCAAGTGCTGCCCCAAAATCCCCGTCTTCCATACAGCTTCCTCATCCCTGCTTGTTCACACGGATTCACTTTCCTGACAAAGACAGAGAGAGAGAGAGAGAGAGAGAGAAGGAGAGAGAGAGAGAGAGAGAAGGAGAGAGATAGAGAGAGAGGGAGAGAGAGAGGGAGAGAGAGAGAGAGAGAGAGAGATGAAGACTATCATTATTGTATAAATTCAAGTCTTCTCCTTCATGGCTGCCTAGGATCTCTGCATCTATGTCTCCCATGGAGGTCTCTATGCTCACCTCTCCAAACCTTTTCCTCCTAATCTTCTGCTACTATAGCTTCTTGTGGAGTATAACCAACCCAGTTTCAGTCTCAGCCACCATTTCTTCTGAGAACTTAACGTTCAGCTTCGTTGGTTTCGACCCGAATGGCCACGACATTCATTACGAAGGAAATGCATACTCTTCCAACAATGTCATTCAGCTTACCATGAACCAGAGAGACATGCCTCTCGATGGAAGTGTTGGTCGTGCTACCTACAAAGATCCTCTCCATCTTTGGGAGAGTGTCCACAAGAATCTTGCAGACTTCACCACCAACTTCTCCTTCTCAATCGACTCACAGGGAAGTCACCCTTATGGCGATGGCTTTGCCTTCTTCCTCGCCCCAAATGGCTCGAGTCTTCCGCATTACTCAGGAGGTAGGAACTTTGGTCTCTTGAATTCCAACAAGAGTGATCTAGAGTACTCAACACCAACATCAACAGCCAACAATTTCGTTGCTGTTGAGTTTGATACCTACTCGAATGTATTATCGGAGGATCCGGGGGGGAATCACATCGGCATCGATGTAAACTCCGTTATATCTCAATTCACTACTTCATGGTGGTGGAGTGACATAGAACACGGTGGGAAAGTTCAAGCAGTGATAAGTTACAATTCAACCTCCCACAATTTGACTGTTTTTCTAGTTGATGAAGGAGATTCTGAAGTTTCTCCAAGAAACTCCTCTAGCTTCTCTTTCAATATTGATTTAAGAGAGCATCTACCAGAATGGGTTACGATCGGTTTCTCGGGATCGACCGGAAATCTATTCGAGATTCATACGATTAGCTCGTGGAGTTTCAACTCTAGATTACAAGTTGAAGTGAATGTTACCACCACAACTGATCCAGCTAGCTCTCCAGTTCACTCCACTATAGGAATTTCCATGAAATGGCTCATGATAATCTTGGAAGTGGCACTTCCACTCATTCTAATCTTGGGGTTTGCTTGGTTTTGGATATGGATCATGAAGAGAACCATTAGAAGAAGAAGCCTGAGAAGGGACCAAGAGGAAGATCTTGAGAACGAAACAGGGCCAAGGAAGATTTCATATAAAGATCTATCAGAAGCAACCAACAAATTCAGTGATGAAAATCTATTGGGAGAAGGAGGATTCGGGAAGGTATACAGAGGATTTCTAGACAACAGGGAACTTGATGTAGCAGTGAAGAGAATCACTCCAAACAACCTCCATCAAGGCTCAAGAGAATTTGCATCAGAAGTGAAAACAATCAGCAAATTAAGGCATAAGAACTTGGTAGAACTGATTGGATGGTGCTGCAGCAGGAACGAAGAATATCTCATAGTCTACAAATTCATGCCAAACAAGAGCTTAGATTTCCATCTATTTCAGCAAAACAATCTCCTAACATGGAATCACAGATACAGAATCACAGTAGGTTTAGCCTCGGCACTACACTATCTACAAGAAGAACAAGATCCATACGTTCTACACAGAGATATAAAATCAAGCAATATCTTACTAGATGCCGAATTCAACGCGAAACTCGGCGATTTCGGGCTTGCTAAACTCGTAGATCGTGGAAAACCATCAACATCCACCACGCTACGAGGAACAGAAGGTTATGTAGCACCAGAGTACCTGCAAAGCAGCATTTCAAGTAAAGAATCCGACATCTACAGCTTCGGCATCGTGTGTTTGGAAATCGCCTGCGGAAAACGAGCCCTAGGTGAAACGAGAGAAGACGGAAGGAAATGTTTGATAAAGCTAGTTGAATGGGTGTGGGATTATTACCGACGAAGGAGTGTGATTGAGGCCGCGGATCCAAAATTGCGCCAAATTTTCAAAAGAGATGAGATGAAGCAACTGTTGATCGTCGGACTTGCTTGCGCTCAGCCCGATTTCTGTCTGCGGCCTTCGATCAAACAGGTGATCGACATGCTTAACTTCAAATCTCCATTGCCGAATCTGCCATTGGAATATCCCGGATTCTCGACATCTGCGGTGTTTTTGAGTGCGCAAATGGAATCATTATGTTCATCGGCGTGTTCAGAGAACGGTAATCTCCATGGCAATAGCATATCTTCCAAGATTTCCACAGCTTCTTCCACATTTTCGAATTTGGGATTATTTCGATCTCAACTGTGAATCTTCTTCCTTCTTTCATCTCTTGAACATTTTTTTGGTTGGTGAAATTTCTGATTCAGTAGCAATTTACTCATTTTTTATGCAACCATAGTGAGAAACATTATGTAATCTGTTTTTAGAATGCAATAAATTATTTTGAAGAAATTCTTTATGCTATTGCTTAAACTATGGAAACAAATTATGATCTATAAAAATTTAGGGGAAAGTATAAGAACAGATGATGTCCACGAGACCCGACTTGAACGAGAAACCCTTCTTCGTCCCTACGATTCTTCGATGATATGCTCCACTATCAGCATTAGCTCTCATTGCTTTGGTTTGAGCTTTTCAGAAAGCCTCATATAGAGATCTATTACTGATACCACTTGTCACAATCGCGCAGCCGACTTACGATTGTGCAGCACTCACTTTCCAGCAACAACTGAGTTAAGTCTATTCGTTTTTGTGTCGCCTACAGCCAAGCGACGTATGCTCGAGCCTCTGGCCCTGATTCAAGAAAAAAGTTTTAGAAAACAGGGGCAGATAAATTTTGACGGCCAAGTGACGTATGCTCGAGCCGCTAACCCCAGTTCAAGAAGAAGGTTTTAGAAAACAGGGGCGAGAAATTTCGACGGCCAAGCGACGTATGCTCGAGCCTCTAACCTCGATTCAAAAAGAAAGTTTTAAAAAACGGGAGTAGGGAGATTTCGAAAGCAAGATCTGAGAAATTGAAATTGGTGTTTATATCAGAATATAAGCAAAAAGCCAGAACAACAGCTCACTACATATAACAGACCGACGATATGACCCATGATCAACCCTTAAATTAGCCAATATCTAACTCTCTTCCACTCTGACACATTTTTCAAATTTAGTCCTAAATTTTTCTTCTTTTTTATTTTTTTTAAATAATATATTCATTTCGAAAAATTATTTTAATATTTCAATTTCAACTCTAATCGAGAACGTTTGTCTGCTTTATTCTTTCTCGCTCGACATCCTTTGTTGAGAGGAAGAAATAAAATGGAGTTAATTTGGAGCGGGAGAGAACCGGAAGAAAGAAGGACAATATATACATACATATATATATATATATATATATATATATATATATATATTTATTTATTTATTTATTTATTTATTATTATTATTATTTGGTTTGGTTAAGATTTATTCTATAAGCTAATAATTTAGGGGATATGATCACTAAATAGGTAAATTGTAAATTAAAGGTTAGAAAAACTAAATTTAATTCATTATTTGTAAGGCTGGAATTCATTATTAAATTAGGCAAAATTAATAAAAAAAAATATTCTTTTTGTTGAAATTTTAAAAAATACCATAATACTTATTTTTAAAATATATATATATATATATATATAACACAATTTTTAGAATATTTTTTAGTATTTTTAAAATAAAATATTAATCATTTCTTTCTAGAGCCACATTTCTAATTTAAGAGTATTTTTAATTAGTTTAACTATTAAATAACTTATTATTATATTAGTAAAACTTATTAATAGCATGGAAAAAAAATAAAATAAAAATTAACGAAGGATCAAATTTAAAAAGAAAAATGAATTAAAATCTTCTAAATTATTTAAGTAAATTTATAATTTAGTATTAATAAAATGGTGTAATGTGGGTTTTCAGTCAAATAAATAATATGATGAAAATATATAAACTATAACGATTTAAAACAAGGAGCACCAGTGGTCTAGTGGTAGAATAGTACCCTGCCACGGTACAGACCCGGGTTCGATTCCCGGCTGGTGCAATGATTTTGTTTTTTTTTCTTTTCTATTTAAAAAATCTTGGCTCTCTTGGTTCCTTTCCAATTTGACCCTAAATTACAATTATATATTTCGTTAATAAATTTTAATATTTTGCCACACTAAAAGACGACTTAAATGGAAAAATAATAACAAAGGTCGCCACTCTCCTATATTGAGATGTTTTGTTCGAGTGGTTGCGAGCTAGAGGTACCATAGTTTATAGCTAAAGCCCGCAACTGAGAGAACGATAAGGATAATGAGCGTAGAGTTCGCCAAGTGGGCGGTAAGAAAAACGAGCAACTGCAACATATGAGTCTTAGGACAATCAGTTCGATCGTATTTGTCTATATCAGGCATTATGCACACGACATTATCAAAATTCTCGGTTAGTGACGGATGCTTAATCCAAAGAGAGAGTGCACCCTATACCACGAGCTTGATGCATTATCTCTCTTCAACCCTTTGAGCGAAATGCAGCAAAAGAAATGAAAATTCATGAACCAACCTCATCGTCTTCACCCCATAGGAACTACGAGATCACTCCAAAGACGTGGTCTCACAACTTTGCTCTTGAACCTTCTTTTACTCCTTGGAGTCATGGCCATAATCTTTTGTTATAGTTATTTGAGTATGTTTAAATTAAATTTGTGGGTCTGGGAAAGGGTGAAAAATATAAGTGGAAGTAGGATAAAAAAATATAATTATCGTCCTAAATCTATTCATATGTAACACCCTAACCTACCGCTAGGTCTTTGGGCTTTCCCTTTCAGGCTTCTCTTCAAGGTTTTTAAAACACGTCTGCTAGAGAGAGGTTTCCACACCCTTATAAAAAGAATGTTTCATTATCCTCCTCAACCGATGTACGATCTCACAATCCATAAATCTTATTTAATCTCGTGATTTATATTGCTTACGTGATTGAAAATGACATTTTCATTCGTACTATTATTGTGATTTATTTAATCTTGTGATTTATATTGCTTATGAGCAAAGTCATTTATAACGACTAGACTTTTTATGGTGATTGATAGGTCATATGGCTGGCCGAATTTTTTATTTTTTTAAAACAAAATTATTTGGCTAAAATATAATTTATTCAATTTTCTACGCATTTCAAGTATTAATTTTAATTGTTATAATTTTCTTGAATCTTAAATTTAGAGCTTCAAAATTAATTTTTATCGAATTTGGTAAATTTTAGGTAAAAAAAAAAAATATATATATATATATATATACACAGAGAAAATTGCACATAAATAATAAGATATTAAAAAAAATAATTAACAATGGCTAAAATTAAGACTTTTTAAAAAATATAATAATTTAAATTTAACATCGGAAAGAATAAATAAAATTAATTTAATGGGATTTCATATCTTATTTTCCCATCCCATATCAAACTTTTGACTATTCTTTTCAATAATCATAATGTTTAGTATATTTGTCACATCTCTAACAATTAATACAATCCCACTATTTTTCTATTTGCCAATAATTTAAAAGTCTTGCTTTCACATTTAAATAGTCAATAATAGAATAACACTTTAATATTAAAATAGCGGAAATTTTTTTATATTTCCATAAAGTCATAACAATTTTTCTGTAACAACCCAAGATTCGAGGCGGTCGAGTCACGAGCTATTTCTAATGCCTTGAAATTTTAAAAGATGTGGAAGAGTTTGATAAACTTTTAAAGAAACGTGTTAGGCAACATTATTTCTCAAAAGAGCAACAAAAAAAAAAAATAGTAATATGACTAATTTTAAACCGTACTTAGACTTATCTAAAAAGTCTGAGGCCCCACAGCCCGCTCTCGCTTTCGCCTCGACCATGCAGCTTAGTTGTCATCTCACAGGAAAAATGTAGTCTAAATAAATATAACAATACTCAATAAACAATATGATGATAGGTTTTTAAACTAAACTTAATAGTTATGCAGGTTTGTAACTAAAGTACAAGTCTTACTCAAACTCAAGTGTTTTACATTTCAGCGTTTGGCGCTAAAGAGGCTCCTACTAAACTACTAATCTTTTGAAGCTCGTTAACAAGGCTCCGTGAGTAATCTAGATGGTTTTTTTCTAATTTTAGTATACGTCATCTCATTTCCAATTTTGGTATGCTACTATACATCATGAAATCTGCCCTCTGTAATAAATAAACTACTAGAGTAGTCCTTATAGTCCTAATAGTATCAAGGGGACACAAGATGTAGCAACCCTCATGTTTACCAACTCTATGCCGTCCCTTATCCTATTTTGACAAGATCATGATTAGATAATATTGGAATCCCATCTAAATCTCTAAAAAGCTTTTACAAAGATTTTAAGTTCCAATCATTGATGCTTGAATTTATTTAAAAATCTCAACAATATGCAGGTAAGGACGGTCTAATCACATTAGAGGTAGGGTCTTTACAGATGAAATCATAGTAAAACATCTCCCAATAGAAAGTGGTTTAGGAACGAATCAAGATAGAGCTAGTGGGCATGTGACTCCCCAGTAAAAGTAAAATAAGGATACATGAATAAACTGAAACCGCGTCTAAATGAGAATATTTATAAGAATATGAAATTATAGTTTATAAAAACTTAAAAAGAATTGATAGTACAAGGTGCACCTACTTGTTCGATGACTTAATCATATGATCTTCATAGTTAGGTGTACTTCGCTGGAGACAAAACATGATAAAAAGACCGGTGTTGATTTAAGAAACAATATTGACTTTTTAGAATCATTCTAAGACAAGAAGACTGACATACTCATGTCATAATGAATGCAAAATATATATATATATATATATATCGAATCTTTTAAACATTGAATCTGAACAGCATTTGTAAAAAGCTTCATGTAAATGTGATTGTTTTGCATTTCTATTTATTTCATTTCATTCCAGCACATTCTCATTGACAAGTAAACACGCCCTAATTTAAATAAGCAAAAAAGAAGGTTTTGATTTTGAAAAAGAGAAATAGTTAAATGTTTGACTTCTACATTTGAAGATTGTTATGACAAGGTACGTATTTTACGCACTTTTTATAATACTAATAATAAAGATAATGTTTAATTTTTAGAAAAAAAGTAATTAACACCTTAAACTCTAAGACTTTTAATTTCAACAAATGAGACCCTAATTTAAATAAATATTACCAACTTTTTCTCTCCATTTAATTTATGTTAATTCACCTACTAACTTTAACAAAAGAAAGTGGATAAGTCTTCATCAAATAATTGATTTAAATAAAATATATAAACCATGTAACAACTTTAAGATTAAGATTATAATACTTAACTAAGTTTTAAATTGACAAATTCAGGGATCAAATTACATTTTCCCCTTACTTTTTATGGTTTACTTATACTTTATGATAGTATTTGTTGAT